GTTTCTATTCTATTCTATTCTATTCTATTCTATTCTATTCTATTCTATTCTATTCTATTCTATTCTATTCTATTCTATTCAAAATCAACATTTAACAGCTAAAAGTAACATTTATTCAACATCAATTGTTAGCTATTAATTGATTAATTGTATTTTTTAGCTATTGTGCTAATATTTGAATTTTAGCTACAGATTCAGAACAACTTCACCCTAAAGCTGGGTACACACCGAATGCATTTTGAGAAGCARGAGCGGCTAGTTTACACGCAAAGTCTATGGTGGACGCGCGTCTAGGGGTCTCGCAGTGCGTTGAGTGTTTAACGCGGCGCGCAGTGAAGCGATAAGTGTGGTTTGGGCATTTGAAGTGCATGCGGCGCGTCCAAAGCAGCCAACGCTCAAGTAAAAAAATCTGAACTTCTGCTGCTCGACGCGGCACGTCAACCACTCAGAGAGACTCTGCTCTGTGACGGAGCATTTCATTTTTCCATGTGACGGTTTCCTGAATGCTGCCTGCTAACCTGAAACAGACGGACAGGAGCTCTTTAGCTGAAGTCGACCCTCTGCAGTTGGGTGTTCTGGCTGGAGATTTCGGCACCGATGCAGGTCAGCGGCTCGTTAAACTGACCGCGGTGTTAAACTGGACTTGGGACAAAAATAGTTTGTCAGCTCGCAGCTCCTGGAGTAAACTCACCGAACAAACTGACTCTAAATCATCTGGTGAATTAATTATCTGGTGTGCGCAACGTTCGCTTGCTCTTTATTTCATCCGCCATTAAAGACAGACCAGAAAAAAACAAGACGCTCCTCCCATAAAACCGTCTTCAGACGCGCGTCTAGTCTTGTTCCGGTCTAAATGTAGCGCATCCAACTTGAGGCGTTGGGCGTTTTAGATGCTCAAAAARCGTTCGGTGTGAACGTAGTTTAACTCTGCTCTATGTTTATCTCGCTTGATGGCTCAAAGGCATTACAGCAGTGGGTTGACTTCAAACGTTCTTCCTGTCGAGGCAGGAAGTAAGTTCGTTTTGTCAAAGGGGCTGTTCTTGTGCTGGAACCTAATTTTTAGTATCAGTTTTACTCAAAACAATTATTTAATCATTTAAATGTAATTACGTGAGATGAGTTAAACCCAGCTCTTATACTGTTTTGTTAATTTTAGCTTTTAGCTACTATTTTACAATAGATCATTTCTTAACAATAACCTAACACTTTGTTATTGTTTCATTAATTGTAGTTTTTAGCATTTCTGTTCATTTTAAATTTCAGCTGATCAGAACAACTTCACTTCACGCTAACTCTGCTCTATGACTACGTCGCTCGGTGGTTCAGAGGCGTAACAGCAGAAGGTTGACTTCATACTTTCTTCCTGTCGAGGAAGTACGCACTTTTTGTGAAAGAACTTTTGCTGGAACTTTTTTATTTAGTTGCATTTTACTCATATTGGTCATTGTATGAGTTTTTAGTGAGTTTTAATTTAGTTTTGAACACAAACCAGGATAATCTTACAGCTGCTAACTTTTAATGGCTGTGTCCAAAACGGCAGGACGGGTCCTCCGAAGGCCGAATTTGTCGGCCGCATACGTCACAGCCCCGTGACGAAGGACGTCCAAAACCGAAGACTCCTCCGATGCGG